CTTGGTCCCCTAAGCGCAGTCTATCAACACAAGCACGACTGATGGTCCTTTACAACCATTTGGTGCTTGTTGGCTAGCGTAGAAGCTACAGTTCTCCTAAGCCGCTGCACTTGGTCCCCGAAGCGCAGTCTATCAACACAAGCACGACTGATGAAATTTCATGTAGAGCCTATGTCTGCGAAGGCGCCAACCTTCCGGCCACTTACATCTACTTCTACCACGAAATGCTCACCTTTTGGACCTCTACTGATCATCGCCCAAGAGTCCCTGGGGTCCTTCCCTGACCACTCGGTCTCTAACTCTTCTAGGCCTCGGACACATCTCTCGAACAGAGCGTCGTTGAGTCTGAATGTGTCTTCGGGGCGATACGTGGGTCACTAGCCTTGGCCAACGCCTAAAGTGGGGAAGGCAACGTTACCACTTCAGCACGAGTAAGAGCGGCTAACACTCCTACTGACCCGAGGTGTTTCCCTGAGAGCTGCTCGCAGAAGCACTCCTAGGGTTCGAAGATAGACCCACCACCGTTCGTGAGGCTACCTTCCTGGTGACCTCCTTGCCGCGGCAAGTCCTGGAAGTGTGACCATAATGGCCACAGTTCATGCATGTACCCCTAGCAACGCGGTCACGCCACACCTCATATTCTAAACCAATCTTCACCCATGCGGGTGTTCCTTGGTCGCCCTGACTCGTGGACCGTCCTGCCTTCTTCTTCCCGGTCCCCCTAGCCTTTTCCTTGATGGGTGCTACGACTCCACCATCTGAAATCTCACCACCCCCATCGTGCTCTGTGAACTCCCCAAGATTTGAGTAGTCGTCAATCTCCGTCGTTTGACCATCGTGGTCAACGAACATTAACTGACCCTTTTTCTTCCAATCCCCGCGAGTAGTCCTACGGTCGTCCACTAGTAACTCCTCACTTGTGCTTGCATCACTCATGAGCTACAGTGTGTGTGATCTAAACTAGAATCCACACTGAATCCTACCTTAGCTTGACACACATCCGCATATGATACAGAACTACTTACGGTCAGCTGGAACTGAAATAGTTAGGTGATGTAGTTGCCACTAATGTCAGGTCCTACAAGATATATTAATTCTATTTTTGAATTACCCTGGAACAGATTGCACTACAGCAAAGATCTAATCTATCTGTAGCCGTCTGTCAGTTGTTAGCGAAGTCTGTCACAACTAGATAATCAAAATAAAAATAACCTCTCCTGTTGGAGATGTACACTGAATGGCAGATTGTATGTTGATTGTACCTGCGAACAGTTACCGGAATCCCCCCTCCCCCTGTATCCTTCTCGAGTAGTCTCTTTGTGTCAACAATCCTGCGCATCTGGTTGAGCAGCGTGTGTGAAGGTGTGCAATCCGGCCCACCCGTGTGCCCCAAGTCTTTGCCGAACAAGCCAGCCAGTCCACTCTTATTTACCCTCATACGGAAACGAGCCTTACACCCGGTTGATCTGGCTGATCAGGAGGAATATTGAGAGCGCCCCCATCTCTTCAGGAATTATTTAACGTCGCAGTCAGGACGACGATCACAACCAGATTTAGATCCGAGTCCCCATCCAAAAATGTTTAGACGGTCTGGTAAGCGTCTCATAAAAGGTTGGCATGCCCGGGTAAACCTCTATTGCGCAAGCAGCAGTACCAAGGACTTGCGCCCAAGCATGCATGTACTAGTCCCAGCGGGTTGGCATGGTGACCGTGACCCGAGTGCTTCGTCCARGGCCCTTCAGAGGCTTCGCCCGTCTCCCACCAGCTTGCTGCCCAGGAAGAATGTCGACTCTCAAGGTTGAGCGCTCGCGACACCTCACATCGAGAGGACTCTCAAGACAGAACTCACTTCCGGTAAGAAGAGATGAAGAGGGTAGATAAGGAAGAGAGCAACATACCTCATAAATGCTGCCCCCAACCACAGAATTCTCACCGGTAACCTGATGTGCAATTATGATGACCGGTCTTTGCTTCGGCACAACCAACAGCAGAATGTGGGTCCACCTCAGCTTAATATGTCACATCAACGAGTCCTCATCATCTAGCATACATCCCGTATGTCACCACATAGCTCCCTGGCGCGCCCACACAACCGTGGGCCGCCCAATGTTCAACGCCAATGCCTTATCACTGCCCCACACCTCATGCGAAGCACCAATAGCTATTGCGAAGAACCAATAAGCGCAATATGAACCAGCTCCGATACCGAATTGCAAGGAAATAGGCAACAGCGAGATGACAATTCCAAATCACACCATCACATTGCAAGCCAAATAGTCACCGTGTTTAGATAGCAGCATTGCACCAATAATACACCAATGGAGTTTCGTAGCACTGGAAACCAATGTTCATGGAGAGCACACTCTCTCCTCTCACTAGTGTCCAGTTCCCTTACACTCACACTTGGCGCTCAACGCCCAGCCTACTCCTACACAGCTACTACAAACTACAAAAAGACAATGCAACTGTTGACATCAACAGCAGCCCGAAGTACTTGAAGATGCCGCCCATGCAGACCATCGCCAATACAAGGTACGTGCCCTCACATCATCATCATCATCATCCTTCACCTATCCCCTGACTTCACCCGCACCTGTCCTCTCTGTCACCCGAAGACCACCCCCACGCTTCACTGTAGTCCAAGCCCACCAGCTATGGTGGTTGGGCTATGGCGCTGCCCTCAGCAGCGCCCTCCTCCTCTGCACGACCGCACGTGCTACACCTCGCCGCCTCAGCGCTAGCAACAGCCTACGAGTATAAGCTCCAGCAGTGCTGCCGCCCAGCATGCGAGTGCCTGAATGCCCTGGCCTGGCCATAGCTCTTTCCTTTATGGAAAGAGCTGGCTGCTTTCGCAGCCTGAATGGGCTGGCCTGGGCCTTGAAGCTTCTGGAAGGCCCCCGGAGGCTGCTTGGATGCAGCTGCTACTGGGCTGTTGGGCCTCGTTCGGTTGGGCACCCAACTGTCTCTGTATGAGGTTTCTTTCAACCAACTGGCGCGTCGCAACTGCCTGAACCCCAAATATGAAATTGACAGTCGAAGGCCTTTTGCAAAAAATTAGGGCGGGCACCGCCGCCTTCACTTAGGGCGGGTAAGGCTGCAGACAGGGCCCTATAGGCCTACCGAGGACCCTGATCCTCGCATATATTACATGCAATTATATTATCTGGCAGACTGGACAACCTAAGTTGGGAGGCCCAGTCAATAAGTCGGGTAGAACAAGAAGAGATGGAAAGCAAATTAAGAATATAATGTGAAGGTAAAATGTGAAGGTAACCCAAACAAAACGCGCCCTAAGTTGGGGTAGTTCAGTCCTATGCCCATAATAACAGAAGGGGCAGAGAGTTAGAATAAAATGTTCATTATTTTACACATAACTAAGGCATTGGATGTCTCCCTAAGTTGGGTAGGTCTAATCATCAGCCTAAGAAGAAAGGAACTCATAAAGTTTGTGCGAAGTATATATGGTTATTCAAGTTGTTGTTACGGAGGCTAAGCATACCCCTTAGTTGGGGCGGATTAGTCATACATCATTTGTACCTTTGTTTAGGCAGGTCTCATCATCTGCCTAAGAAAAACGAAAGTTACAAAGTTTGTGCAAAGTAATTATGGTTGTTCAAGTTGTTGTTATGGAGGCTAAGCGTACCCCTAAGTCGAGACGGCTTAGTCATACATCGTTTGTAACTTTGTTTACGCAGATCGGGCTATCCCTAAGTTGGGGCGGATCACATTGCCTTATGTATCTTAAATCGTTTAGGCTAACTAGGCGTACCCCTAAGTTGGGGCGGCCTTCCGATATGCCTTTTATCGATAATGTTATGTAGGTTGGGCGTACCCTTAAGTTAGGGCGGTCTGACCACTCGTTGTTTGTATTTGTTTAGGCAACTTCAACATACCCCTAAGTTGGGGCAGTCCAATTCTACGCCATACGTAACTTTTGTTTCAAGCTGACTAGGCATACCCCTAAGTTGGGTCAGTCCGGTTTTATGCTTCATGTCATCGGTTAGGCAAAAGCCAAACCTACCCTTAAGTTGGGGCGGTCTGGTCATATGCTTTATGTTCATAGTTTATGTTGGGTCGGACATACCTCTAAGTTGAGGGAATCTGGACATACGTTCTCAGTCACATGAGTTGGACATACCCCTAAGTTGGGGCAGTCTAGTTCTGCATACTCTATTCACTTGCTTAGGCAGGCCAGACGCACCCCTAAGTTGGGGCGGCCTGATCTTATGCCATAGGAAAGGGGGGTTTGCAAAGGGATAAAAAAATTGCTAGATTAACGAACTACTTGGCTAAATAATGTGGGACTGAGAGCGTTGTTGATTATGCATGTTTGATTGGGGGCACTCGTTTGGGGCATCTCTTGATTGCTTTAGTTGCTTAGATGCTCGTTGAGTGTTGGACCCTCGAATAGATTCGAATATTCGAATGGATGCTCGTTGAGTGCTAGCTCTCGATGCCATCTTCAAAGAAGGATCGTGTAGGCTATCGCTAGTTCTAACTATCAGGTAAGTATCAAAAGGGTAGTCCCAAGTGTAGTTGTATTTTGCTTTTTGTATTTTCAGCTTTGTATAAATCTTGGCAGCCTCCTTTTCCTATGGGAAGCGCTGCCAAAATTTTTAGAAATTTGAAGAGAAATTCAGTACATACAAATTCTGAAAAGGCACTTTTCCTACGGGAAGCGCTGCCGAAATTTTCTAAAATTTTGGAGAGTTCGATTTTTTCTGTTAAGAGAAATTTGGCAATCCTTCCTGTTTAGGGGAGATGCTGCCAAAGTTCTTGATAACTTCTAGTGCCAATTAGAGGAAGGTAAAAAAAAGGGTTAACGTTGACTCCCTTAGTGTGTGCGGTGTTGCTGTTTAAACCGTGTGTGGTCGCAGGTAAGATTCTGGATCGAGCTGTATATTTTGCTTGAATGCAAATGGACAAGCCACATTATTGTTGTGAGAGTGACCGTCTGATACCCCACACCTCTTCTATTTGATTGATTGAATCACACTTTGTTTGCATGATCACGATGATTAAGTGAGAGTGTGTGCGCATCGCAATAATGCACACACTCCTCTCTACTATTTGAATCAGTTGGTCTGGCGTTGGTCCTTAACCTCAAATTTGAGGTCCTTGTCCAAAACATTTCATGTTCCAGCTCAGCACAAAAGGGTTTCCCCTATGCGCTTAGCATTCGCGCTCTGCCCCTCATGGCACCCTACCTAAAGGTCATGAGTGCTGCTAGGGCTAAACGGCTCATCCTTCAGATGTTCAATTTCGTGAAGGAGATTTCCTTCATGATACCTCATCTCTGACACTTGAATGTCGTACGCAACGCTGAAGCTTGCAAAAGGTCGGGCAATTGTGGGTGACGCGCGAAGCGTCGCCATGACAATTAATCGTGAGGGTTCGCACAAATGAATATTATGCTTTCCCTCGCACAAACATTTTCGAGTGTGGGCTACACTTGAATTCTCACACTGAATGAGTTATGGGAGAGGTGCTTGCAAAGAGAACGACGTGCGTATTGATCATTTCGTTGCATATGACTGTCATGACCAGCACACGCACGTGTTTTTCATATCAACTTTTACACGGTTAACACGTGTACAACAAACTGATTTTCCTTGTTTACGGTTATTTTTTGGTGGAAAGATAAGGTTCCGAACGGAAGGGTTAGCGTGTTGTTGGTGTTGCGCTAGACAACTCACCACCACTCTAAATTCCCTTCTGCCCTTGACACCATCTTATCCTACACCCTTTGGAGCACCACAGGGTGCAAACGATGGTCGGGTGTGCAGTCCACTTTTGCGCCGGCTAAAGGATTGATCGCTTTAGATCGTACATCAACCAACGCCTGAACGTTGAATGCAATCCCATGACTCAGATGGGACCGTACCTCTATGGGCACTGCATAGCATTCCATCATTCCAACTGCTTCTGTATTCACACATGGGCAGTCATTATGATAAAGGCTTGCGAAGTGGTTACTATTTATGTAAAGTCTTGCATGTGACATCCGTGCGTTCTAATCCAAGAACAGTTACGGGTTGAGTACAACAAGGGGTTAAGCGCGATATTGCAAGTAGGGTCGAGTTTTCGTTGGAAAGTGTATCCCGTGGTTAGAATAGTCGTCCTAGTCAATCGACGTAGGATCACATTCGAGAGATCAACGCCTCAAATGACGATTCGCACGAGGGTCCCTCTATGCTACAACAAACGCGAAACACCCTCGGTTGGGCCACCTCTGCGATTGCATACTGGAAACCTTCGCATGTGGTCCGATAGCTCGGCGGGGATACACCCCCCCAAGGGATGGTGACAGCTCCCACGGATGGAGGTACGCAATGCCTCATGTGGCCCTATCCTGTTGACGGGGCTCGCGAGAGGTATGGCTGGCGCACTCGGCCAGAGCAGCAAAACGCTCTCCGCGACAAGTCCTGCAAAATCCTGCGTCACACGGTCGGGAGGGTCCCCCTGCAGGACCGATGCGCTCGACACCGAATTCAAGTACGGTCCTGAGGGCGACAATGAAAATGCCTCGAGGCCAAAGCTGAAAATTGAAAGTTTGAGAGTGGGCACCAAAATGTCGGATGGCGCCAACTATCCGAAGTCTGAAAGTCCCAAAAGAAGGAAATTGAAAATGGGCACCAGTATGCAGATGACATCAACTGTCCGAAATCATAAAGCAAAAACAAAAACAAAAATAAATGCACAACAAAAAACCAAGGAAAACAAACACAGCAAGTTGGTGGGTGATAACGCGCAGACCGAGGATCGAGCCCTGGCGGAGTCCGTAACACCTTCCTCCCGCTTGGCGGTCTCTATTGCCGCCAACCCCCTGGTCGCCTCATCCACGACCACCTGAGGCCTAGCCACCCTTGCCTTGGCTCTGCCTCCTCCTGCGGCCTCCCTCTGGCTGCGACAACAGCATAAGCTCTCCCCTTGCTTGCACTACTACCTTCTTTCTCTAACCACCACTCTAGATCTATGCAGGGGACCTCTTCTACACCACCACCTTCCATTGTTAGTATAAGACTGTCCTTGGCCTAGACCCGGCCAGAGATTGTGCGACCTTTCCACTTCTTGCCCTTCGATCCTTCGCTAAGTCCTTATGCTAGAAAGTGGTCACTGGCAAAAGCAACGGCCTCTCTACTAAGGAGGTCGTGCGTCATCCAAGGCTGTTGCTTTCTAGCAAAGAAATGCCCTTGCACTTGCTCGGGCAGAGTGAGGTAAAAGAGGTGTATAAGTTGTGCTTCGGTCACTCCATGCCCTGGCACAGCGATAAACTCATCCATAGCGGCTTTCAGGGCGTGCACGCTCCTCCATTGCCAATAATGAATCGTCTGGAGTTTATCAGACGCCCTTATCCACTAGTGACGTATGCAAATCGTTCTCGTAGTGCCGCGACAAAATCACTAAGATGAGTCAAAACAAGTACCGGACCATGTCATTGTCCCAATGGGCGGTGCGTGAGAGCGAAGTTGCAAAGTTGTTCACATCTCTCAAAGCCTAAAAGGCTATCAAGACATGGTCCTCGGGAGCTACGTCCTGCAAATGCATGTAGGACTTAACGCTTGCTTCCCAGTTGTCAAAGTCCTCCCCCTTCTTTCCGTTGCATGGCCCGGGAAAACGCACCTCGACCCTTTCTCGACGGGGTCGGACCTCTTCTTCCTTGACGGCTGGTATTTTGGCACCCTCTATTGCGCCCGTACAAAACGTTTTTATCCTCCCGATTGCGTTCCGCAATTCGTTGACCATATACGTCATCATATCCTTGGCAAAATCCCGAAATCCAACTCGTACTGAATCAAGCGCTATATCATGCCCGTGGATGTGTTTGAGTTGTTCCTGTTGTGCGGTTAGGATGGACTTTACACTAA